CCCTAGTCACACATCATTTTCTAGTAGTGGTGTATCAATCTTTCATTGTATGTTTTTTTTTCCCCAATGCCTTGGACATGTAAGACGACAATGAACGACTCCTAAATTCATATTATGGTTAAGGTGTTTATAATTTTTCTTTTCTTCTCTTTAAATTTGTCATGGCAGTATTTTTAAGAAAGGAAACAACTTTGCTTTCAACTTTATGACCGCTTGATCGTCAAAACTCAAAAAGTCAAAAGCATCATGCATGATGCTCAATTTCACTGAGCCGAAAGCATTGGGGGTCTTTCACATAACTTTAGGTAGTTGCTTAATTATAGTTTGGAGCGTAAGTTTAATAGTTTAGTGTATGTGGTTCGTACAAATTTTATATTCTATTTCACACATATATTAATAAGGATTAATGATTACTTTGAATCATCCTAAATAAACAAGTCAATAAAGATAGTTGTATAAAAAAAAAAGTCAATAAAGATAGAACTTTCAGAATATTTGCTTCTAATTTTAAAATTCTAGAACATTTTACTATTTAATTCTTGGGGTTAGGTTGATACTTATAAATAACATCTTAATTCATTTAATTTTCATGTTATTAAATGAAATAGAATTTCTTTTTTAATAAGTTTTTCTTTTTCTTCTTTCATTTTTCTGCTTTCTCTCTCGTTTCTTTATTCTCTCTTTTTCCCTCCCTCATCCCTACATCATATATGCTTTGTACGTTATTATATGATATTATATGATATATATATTATAAAATTAATTTAACTATTTTTTGTACTTTACAAATTAGTTAACTGGGTTTTACATATGGTTTATTTAGGTTTATTTAGGTAAAGAGTCTGATATAGTTTAATCCCTGATATATAATTCAGTGGAGGGACAATTTTTACTTTATTCTAGTTTCATCTTTTTAATGATTTAAGTAGCATCAGGTCAATAATGTCGCACAAAATGACAAACTTGGAAGGAGATTGGATGAAAGTGATTAAAATTAAAATAACAAAAAAAAACTTACATTTTTTTCGACAAAAAAGGTTACTTTTGATTAAATAACTTCTCTCCACTTTGTCGTGTTCCAAACTTCTGAGAAACAAAATGCTTTGGAGCAAAACCACGAAGCCTGACCCTTCCGAATAATTTCCCCCACCCACTATGCATATGCATATAAAAAAGCAAAACGCATTGTGTTCTAAAAATTAACTAACTAGATAATACCCCATGCATCGCGGCATCATCTAGAAGTATGGCTTAAAGGCTTGTGTTGTGCCCGGAGTTATTTTATTATATTCATTGTTCACACTGAATCTTCACCTTCAAAACTAAAAGTTACAGAAAGACAAGAAAAAGAGAGCTAGGGGTTCGTTTGGTATGAGAAAAAATGTGGGGAGGAGAGGAAAACTTTTAATGAGCTTTGTTTAAAAAATTGAAAAGATGGAGCTAACATCTTTTAAGTAATTTTTATTACTATTTTATATTATTTCTTTTCTTTATTAAAATTTCAAAATTCTACTTCTTCAATTTTTTAAGTAGAGTTGATTAAAATTTTTCTTCCCCTCCCCTCTCCTCTATTTCCTCGTACCAAACATCTAATGCTTAAAACAGGCCAGGACTCTCTCTCTCTCTTCATGTAGCTGGCAATCAATTTTGATGGGTGAAACAAGGCATGGATTTCTCCACGATTGCATCATTGATCATGAGAAGCACTCATCTTAGTGCAGCTTCCTTGTTTCTTCCTCCCATAAGCTAATTCGCCTTCTGCTTCTGCATCCTTTTTTTTCATTCACCTCACTCTTTATCCATTCACGGTTTCCTGCAGATCAAAGATCAGAAGCAACGAAAGCCTCTTAAATCTCTCTCTCTCTCTCTCTCTCTCTCTCTCACTTATTTAACATACACTAGATTCATCGTCTCTCTTTCGCTAACCTAGCAATTTCCAAGTAACTTTCTGCTCCATTTACGCCCTTTTTTTTTTTTCCATATTGATCATATGCTAGTTTTTCTTGGACTTGTTACAAATGGGAAAAAACCTTGTGGAATTGTGGCCAAAAGTATAGGCGGGGCCACATTGTTTATGATATTACAAACACAGAAAGCAGTGTTTTGAGATAGTTTAAAGCAAAAGCAAGAAACATGTCTGGAATTTCTCGTCCTCTTCATGCTGAGGGTTCATCATCTGTGTTATGATCACTTTTTATATATAATGAGAGCTTAACAGATATAATTACAAGATAAATCGAAAGTAAAGTCTGCTGTACTCGGTCCGTATGTTTGTAGCAAGTTTGAGAATTAGAATACTAAGAAACCGGAAGCATTAACAGCTAAGATGAAAAAGTATAGGCTACAGGAAGGGAACAAGGAGAACTCCATAGTCACAGGGACAATAATGGCCAGAAGGGGGGAAAAAAGAATGGCAGAGAGGAATCTTCATCACAATCCACACTGCTGTGAGCTCCCATCTTTCTCCATCTAAATACCCTAACGGCTTGTTCCATGTTAGTCCACTCCTCGTAAGCCCAATTATTGAATCTTGTGGTCCATTAGTCTCAGTTTCACAGTCATAAGCCCATTTTATTTTCAGCCCTTTCATTACAGTCGAGTAGCTATTCTGGTAAGGTAACATTACATGTTCATCAGTTGCTAGTATGCTTGGCATAGTTTCATTTTATCCTATCTCTTTTCATGAGTTGCTAATTTTACTTAGGTCATGATTGGTTGGAGCCAACTTATAAGTGTATAGAATTTGACGGCTTTTAATTTTTGGATGAAAATGAGATGAATAAAGAGAACAGCAATTGGGTACAAGAATTGAAGTAGTCATTTCCAGGAGACAAAGTTCATCAATCTGTCACTGTCACTGCCAAGGATGAATTTTACTCCTCTATTTTTATTTTGGGTCTCCTTTCTGCTTAAAAAACCTTTATTTAAAATTAAGCTCTGCGATCTCCTTGTTGGTTGTCAATATATGCTCCAAACAAGATGTGTATGCATTCTGCTGAGTCTCATAATTTTGGGAAGATAAAGGGAACTTTCAAAAATAAAAGGACATATATATTCAGAGCAGTGTACTATGATTGTCACATTTGAGGTTGTCGCATTTAGGATCCAACCTTACCGATTATTTATACCATGATCTCTCGAATCCATATTTACCACCTCCTTATCTTTATACTGTACTCCATCTCCATGTAACATATTGTGTTATGACCATTTTCTTCTGAGGATTAATTCAACTTGAGCATCTTTCTGTTCATCAGGATTTTTTTTTGTTAATAATTCATCTGTTGTCGAATAGTCATGTCAGTGGATACACTAGGAGGATTCAACATGGAAGTTATTTCTCTCAGTGAACCAGATGCCTTGGACGTGGAACCAAACTCGTCTCGCAACCCTGTGTGTCTTTAACTTCTGCTTGGCAATTTTGAACATTGCATTCAAAATTATCTTCTGAGCTTTAGCGCCTCTGAGACAGTTCCCTCTTTATGCTTTGGTCGATTCGGCAAGATGGGTGGTGCTTTTGTCTGTTAGATGGTGAATGCCTTATGCACATTACACACATACACATCTACACACACACTTGATACTTTCTATTACTGCATTTATTCATGCTTAATTTTATTTTCAGATCCACATAAGTGTACCTGCCAGTGGGTGGTACCATCCACTCATAAACTTCACTCCTCGAGTGACACATATAAAAAAAATAAAATGTACTGAACTACAATTATTAAAAAAAAAAAAAAAAGTACAACAACATTTTAAAATGATTTACCTTTTGTGATCTTTCATATGACACAACTCTCAAGCATGTCATAGAACTGGGGAGGAAAGAAGAGGGCAGATAGAGCAAGAATGGAACGATTAACAATTCAGTCAACCATTTAAATCTATCCCGCAAAACATTAATTTTTCTGCCAACACAAGTCCTAGTGACCATGAAAATTATGGCAATTATTCATTCTCTTCCTCCCCTGCCATTTTTCATCATCGTAGAACATTTGAATCCCCATCATGTCTTCTTTGTGCATCACAAATTTACAAATCCTATGCCTCACAAATAACCTTGTTTTAGGCGCGACTTTATCCTTTATTGGACACTCAGCAGGAGGATGGCTTGCACGTGTCTACATGGAAAAATTCGGGATGTCTCATATTTCCTTGTTATTGACTCCCGTAACCCCTCACCTGTAACTTTCTTGCTTATAGATGTCCTCTAAAATGGTTTGGAGTTCGTCTAATACTAACGGCATAGTTTCTCTACAGAATGCATTACTAGTTTTAATTAAAGTGAAGTGATCTTTTAGTTATAAGAAGCATATAAAGTTTATCATTTTATTTTATCCTTTAAAGCAAATTTCGCATTCAATATTGTTGTCAATTTTAAGCCCATTAATAGATAATTAACAGAGATGGTGCTGCAACTTAATGTGAAGCTAATGTGATTTTAAGTGCTTACTTCACATTGAATTACATAGAGCACCAAGCCCCATTTCGAATTCCTTGGCTTATGCTAAGTGTCAAGTGAAAACTTAATGCAGCATCAACTTCACTTTAGGCCACAGAAACCATCTTTGTTCACTATTTGTTAATGAGCTTATTGTGATCATAAAAAAGAAGATACTGATTGGAGAACTGATAAAGGGTATTACAATTGTAAGATATCAAATGAGGCGTGTATTTTAGGAGGACTAAAATTTATGCTCACTCCTTTAATTATTCAAAGATGAAGGAAACAGGTCTCTTAATTTACTCTCCTTATAGTTATTAAATCCTCTAAAATGGTTTGGAGTTGATCAATGGCTAATACTTACGGTGTAGTTTCTTTACAGAGTGCGTTTCTGATTTTAATTAAAGCGAAGTGATCTTTTGGTTCTAAGAATCATATAAAATTTTATCATTTTATTTTAGCCTTTAAAGCAAATTTTGCGTTCAATATTCCTCAATTTAAGCCAATTAGATAATTAATAGAGATGGTGATGCAACTTAATGTGAAGCTAATGTGATTTTAAGTGCGTACTTCGCATTGAATTACAATGTGTACAAAGCATCATTTGGAATTCCTTGGCCCATGCTGAGCGTCACGTGAGAACTTAACTGCAGCATCAACTTCACTTTAGACTGCGTGAACCATCTTTGTCTACTATCTGCTAATGAGCTTACTGTAAGTATGTAACAGAAGATACTGATTGGAGGACTGATATGAAAGTTATGGGAGATCAAATGAGAGAAGGTGTACTTTTTGAGGACTAAAATTTTCGCCCATTCCTTTAAGTATTCAAACATGAAGGAAACAGTCTCTTAACTTACTCCGTCTCATAATGACAAAATTCTGATCATGTTTTCTTCAACATTCTTCTAAGCCCACCTCCAAAGGGCACACCTGGTGTCATTGATCAAACATGGGGTTTCCTGAATTATGTTGAACAAAACCGCTTAAAAGCTGTTTACACTTTACACCCCTCAAATGAAGTATGTCTGTATTGCTGGAAGGCAAACTCATCCTTCATGCTTCGCTAATTGGATTATTTATTTGTTGGGCAAGTGTCTCATTACTTTCTCTTCTTAGTCCCTCAAGTGCTGGATGCTTTAACAATTGTGGATGATTTAAATGTTTTCATTCATTTACTACTTCCTGAAAAGGACGAGATCAGAACCGAACCCAGGTTTTGAGTATTGAAGTGATATAATAGTATCTTTTGGAAGAGTCAGTTGATATTGAGGTCTTTTGTGGTTTACCAAAATTGAGTTTTATTCATTCTATTTGTTCACCTGTGGTTATGAGTATTGAAATTGCTATCCTCCAGCTCAACTGATAAATCAGAAAGGAAAAATTACAGTGAAGGACCCATAACTTGTGTTCATGACGGTTACAGACTTTAAAACCTAAAACTCCTCTAAGGATCATAGAATAAGTTACGATATTTATTCTCATAAAATTACCAGTGATGTTGTTACTCAAAGTTACAACATGACTACTTTCAAAATTGCAATAATGTCCTGTTTTAAGCTTCTGTTCCTATCTTTGGATTAAAACACCCTGACAGTATTTGGTTGATCAAGTTGTGATTTTAGGAGTACCAATGGTAATCCAATTTTACGCTGTTTACCCGGAACTTCTAACTTTTGAGGCTTTAACTGTCACTAACAGAAGTCATGGATACTTCACTGTCATGTTCTTCCTGATCAATTATGGGTGACTGAAGCAATGAGATTTTGTCAGGTTTGCCTGCAGCAGAGGTATGGGGTGATGGTGTGGTGCCAGAGGTATCAATCCATCTTCAATATTATAACGTGGATGGGGTACACCACTCACCCGTTGGTTCAGATGATGAGTTGAAACCTTCTTATGGCTCCCCTGCTGTTCTAGAGCATTGGGTAAAACACCTTCTCAGTTAAACTCAAAGGATCAGCATTTTGTATATGCACCTTATTGTGTCTGTGAAGAGTTTGCTGTCGATAGAGTACAATCACATCATATTAGTAAGCTAGGATAAAGCTTATTTTTGTACTTAGTATTCTGAGACGTAGATTCTGAGGCGTAGGATCAGAGCCTTCTGTTGTGACCATGCTAGGTGGAAAAAAAAGAAACGGTTTTCCATTTTGTAGTGGCATTTATTTCATTGTTATCAAAGGATCTGATTATACGTTATTTATTATTAGATTTCATTTAAGATATTCAAACTTTCATACAAGTATCGTTGAGCAATTGACGGATAGACTAATCTATTTTCCTCTGAATACAGATAGATTAACCGTTTTTCCTATTACTTATGAGTGTGTATTGATTGGTCGAAGTTGTTTAACGATCAATTTCTTTCTTTTTTTCATACAAGTGCTTTTTGTAAATCTTATGATGATCTTGCGGTCCCATTTGTTTGTCTAGATAGCCATATAATATATGTGTGTGTGTGTGTGTGTGAGAGAGAGAGAGAGAGAGAGAGAGATGACCATCGACCAGTATGCGTGTGTGTTTTTATTTTCAAAATTTGTTATTTAGTAAGAGGAAATCTACCTACCAATCTCAAGCCGGCCACTTGCCATATTTAAATTGCAATGGAGAAGTTTAGCTGTCCACTGTCTCGAGTTTCATTTTTTTAATAGGGAAAAAGACAGAGAAATGCTAACTGAATTTCAGAATGACCAAAACGTCCGTCCAATTTTTAAAATGCCATTTTGGTCTCAAGAGACCAAATTGGCATTATTATATCAAATGAAAAGACCAAATTACCCTTCCTTTTAAATATTGTTTTTAAAGTATCACAGCTCCTACTGGGCTGCTGGTCACCGGAGTTCCAGCGACCAGCCGACAATTAGTCACTGGAGCTCCATCGGTCGGAAAATTTTTTTTTTGAACATTTTTACAACTTCAGTATAACAGTTAACAACTTTTGTAAAGCTATTAACAACTTCAGTATAGCAATTAACAACAGGTTTTTTGGAAAATTCAACAAGCTCCGGTGACCGGAAATAATTTTTTTGAAATTTTTTACAACTTCAGTATAACGATTAACAACTTTTGTAATGCTATTAACAACTTTAGTATAGTAATTAACAACAAGTTTTTTGGAAAATTCAACAAGCTCGGGTGACCGGAAACAATTTTTTTGAAAATTTTTACAACTTCAATATAACAGTTAACAACTTTTGTAATGCTAGTAACAACTTCAGTATTAACAACAGGTTTTTTAGAAAATTCAACAAGCTCCGTTGACCGGAAACAATCTTTTTGAAAATTTTTACAACTTCAATATAACATTTAATAACTTTTATAATGCTATTAACAACTTCAGTATAGCAATTAACAACATGTTTTCTGGAAAATTCAATAAGCTCCGGTGACCGGAAACAATTTTTTTTGAAATTTTTACAATTTCAGTATAACGGTTAACAACTTTTGTAATACTATTAACAAACTTCAGTATAACAATTAACAATAAGTTTTTTGGGAAATTCAACAAGTTCCGGTGACCGGAAACAATTTTTTTGAAAATTTTTACAACTTTAATATAACAGTTAACAACTTTTATAATGCTATTAACAACTTCAGTATAGCAATTAACAACATGTTTTTTGAAAAATTCAACAAGCTCCGGTGACCGAAAACAATTTTTTTGAAAATTTTTATAACTTCAGTATAACGGTTAACAACTTTTATAACCGTATTAATAACTTCAGTATAGCGGTTAACAACAGGTTTTTGAGTTTGTTAAAGGCATTACTGAAATTATAAAAATGCTACTTTTTGAATTTTTTGAAAAACCTATTGTTAACTACTATACTGAAGTTTTTAATAGCGTTATAAAAGTTATTAACCGTTATACTGAAGTTGTAAAAATTTTCAAAAAAATTATTTCCGGTCACCGGAGCTTGTTGAATTTTTCAGAAAACCTGTTGTTAATTGCTATACTAAAGTTGTTAATAGTATTATAAAAGTTGTTAACTATTATATTGAAGTTGTAAAAATTTTCAACTTCAGTATAACGTTAACGATTATGTTTTTCAAAAAAAAATTTTACAACTTCAGTATAATAGTTAACAACTTCGATATAGCAGTTAACAACAAGTTTTTCAAAAAATTTAAAAAGTGACATCTTTATAACTTCAGTAATGCCGTTAACAAACTCAAAAACCTGATTATACTGAAGTTGTTAATAGAGTTACAAAAGTTGTTAACCGTTATACTGAAGTTGTAAAAATTTTGAAAAAAATTGTTTCCGGTCACCAGAGCTTGTTTAATTTTCCAGAAAACATGTTGTTAATTGCTATACAGAAGTTGTTAATAGCATTATAAAAGCTGTTCACTGTTATATTAAAGTTGTAAAAATTTTCAAAAAAATTATTTCAGGTCATCGGAACTTGTTGAATTTTCTAGCAAACCTGTTGTTAATTGCTATACTGAAGTTGTTAATAGCATTAGAAAAGTTGTTAGCCGTTATACTGAAGTTGTAAAAAATTTCAAAAAAATTGTTTCCGGTTACCAGAGCTTGTTGAATTTTTCAGAAAACATGTTGTTAATTGCTATACTGAAGTTGTTAATAGCATTATAAAAGTTGTTAACTATTATATTGAAGTTGTAAAAATTTTCAAAAAAATTGTTTCCGGTCACCAGAGCTTGTTGAATTTTCCAAAAAACCTGTTGTTAATTGCTATACTGAAGTTGTTAATAGCATTACAAAAGTTGTTAACCGTTATATTGAAGTTGTAAAAATTTTCAAAAAAATTGTTTCCGGTCACCAGAGCTTGTTGAATTTTCCAAAAAACCTGTTGTTAATTGCTATACTGAAGTTGTTAATAGCTTTACAAAAGTTGTTAACCTTTATACTGAAGTTGTAAAAATGTTCAAAAAAAAATTTTCCGACCGACGGAGCTCCGGTGACCAATTGTCGGCCAGTCGCCGGAGCTTTGGTGACTGCCGCCGCTGGAGCTCCAGTGACCGGCTGGCCAGTAGGAGCTGTGATACTTTAAAAGCAATATTTAAAAGGAACGGCAATTCGGTCTTTTCATTCGATAGAATAATGCCAATTTGGCCTCTGGAGACCAAAATGGCATTTTGCAAATTGGACGGATGTTCTGGTCATTCTGAAATTCAGTTAGCATTTGTCTGTCTTTTTCCTTTTTTAATAAGTTAATTAGTCATCTTAGTGAGAAAGACTCGTAGATCAGTGAACGATCCTCCTCTTTGAATCTCCCATGGCAAGAATTCCTTCAACCTACCAATTTCTTTCTTATTCCTTCTCTTTCATGTCTAAATTGTCAGAGCTGTTCAACTCTTAGACATAAAAGTATCCCATTAATTATAGTATATGCAGAGTTTGGATTTCAGATTCAGATAAGAGTGAGAGATTAGGGAACTGAACATTTTATGAATTGTGTGATATGCACAGTATACGCTGGGGGCATACAACTCTAACAACTTGCCTTAATTAACTAAATATTAAACCACCCAACTGACTTACGATTAATAGTTATACTCTAATCCAATCGCCTCCCGTAAACTTAACGTATCTTGGACGTTAGATTTTAACAGATCAAATCTTGAGCTAACAAGCAGTTGGTCTTGCCACACTCACAATTTATGACAAAAAAAAGGTCAAGCCCCATATCGATGGAATCTGTCATAATGGTTAATTAGAATTTTTAGAGGTGATAAATAGAGAAGGTTTAAAAATATTTTGCTTTCGTTTTTATTTTTATTTTTCTAGATTTTATTATCTATTTTATCTTTTGCAATATTTGCATTTGATTTTAAAATTCTAGAATATTCTATTATTTAATTCTTGGGGCTAATTTAAGATTGCATATTGAATTTGAATAAAATAGAATTGTATACTGATTTTTTTTTCTCCTTTTATTCTTACCATGGGCATTAGAGCTTTTGTTCTATCATATCCCTTCCAAATA